GAATCTTTAGATTGGTAACAGAAATCAAAAAACCAATTTAAGAACGGGAAAGAAAAATGAAAACTAAATTGTTAAGCTTTCTCTCAGATTTCACTAATTATATCAATATTTCTAATACAAGCATAAAAAGTTCAAATATGATATTGAGTTCGAATCTGGGCATATCTAAAAATTTGATCTTTAAAATGAAACAGTCCTCATTTGAGAGAAGTATTAAATTTTCTTTGGTTCTACTTTTTCATCAAGATGAATATTAAGATAAATAAAATTTAATTTAATTCAAATGTGAATTTCCTTGTTTCAAATTAAAATTTTAGAGGTAAAGTAGAAGTAATTGAAATAAAATTAATTAGAAGATTATTAACAAAATAATTTGATATCGAATGCAGAGAGTGCTGTTAACAAACATTCTAGATAGTAATTATAATTATACTCGAAGAAACGATATAATTTAGAGTAATTTGATATTGAAATTAAATTTGAGTTTAAATGAACCTAAAATATATTTTCCCTAAAAATAAGTATTTTTTTTCATATAAAAACGCTCTCCTATGTTCAAGTGGCAGTATCTACTAGATTGAAATATATTGAATATCTTCAAATTAAAACTATGTAACGCTCTTTCACCTAAGAAAGCGCTACTACTTAGATTATTTGTAAATTTAATTTGGGATATTTTTTATTCTCCAACAAACCAAAAGAATATGGATTGGTTATAATTAATTTTGTTATGATAGCCAATGATTTATTATGTAATTATAAGCGAACTATTTTTGTACTGGTTGAATGGGATTTAAGAATATAGGAATCTCCAAAGGGTTTTATAGAGATTAAATAAAATACAGTTTATTCAGATTTGTTATAACAATAGTTATGGCTTAAATGAAAGTAGAGTATCAAGTTTACTAATTATACGAGTTCCTTTTTAATATTTAATTCTATTTCTGGATTAGTGTTATTGTTATAATCATTGTAATCGTATTAACTATTTAAACTCGTCCTCCAAATGGCATACTTCACAAATATATGCTGTTTTTCTGCACAGTATTTGATTTGATATGAATAAATTGATTATATCTTCATTAGTCGATTATCTTAATTGACCTTATTTTTATTGACTTATTTTGAGTTATCTTTAAGGAATTCTAGTAATAATTTATCAACTTACGAGCTGCAGCTGCAAGGTTATGAATGTAATCTTACTGTTATGATTCACTTAGAATCAAATTTTATTTGTAATAGAATCTTCTAATGAAAATAACTTTAACTTTTATGTTTTCATATTCCCTATTTTAGACAATCTTTTAATAAATACTAATTACATCCATCTCCAATTCCTAAAGTGTAAACTTGCGAAGTATGTAATATGTTATAAAGCATCATTGTTAGTATGAGTAAGAAAAGAGTGAGGTTAATTAATATAATCGGATGAAAATAACAGCTCAAATCTTTTATTAGGAGCAAAATTAATCTGGAAATTAATTATCAAGAATGATTACTTAACTTATCTATAGTTTTATTAGAAACCTCAAGCATCCACACTTTTTTAATTTTATATATAATAAAGGATAATTGATGACTAGTTTTCTAACTTATGAACTGTAAGATAGCTTGAATCTACAATTAGTTATAATTCCAGCATATTAAAAAGAAGGAGCCTCCATTTCAGAGAAATTTCTTGATGCAACGACACAATAATATTTGGATGAAACATAGTTACTATTATTATTACTAATAATCCTTGTTAAATTATGCATTTATATAAAAAAAATCGGACATAATTAATAAGAAAGTTTAATTTCACTAAACCCCTTTAGTATGTTTCTTATAAAGAATTAAAAAATACTCCTAGTGAGATAGAACATTCCAGGAAATTAAATCTGTTAGAAGAGGTACCCAAATATTTATGAGGACCATAAAAGATACATATTCTCTTCTATAGCTATTGGATTAAAAATTAAATTGAATGATCCTTTTTTCTCAACCTTAATCACTGAGATTCAGCAAGGTGGAATTCAAACGTGTATTATAGCCTTGGCCTAATCTATATCTATTGAGACTTTGAGATTCTAATTTGGCCTAAACTAATTTCAATTATCAACTTGAATTTCAATAATGTTGAAATTAATCAAAAAAATTCTAACAATTAGATGTTAATTGGCCTCCGAACACCAAATGCCATAAGTGTTCCAGCCTCCTCCCTTATAACTCTTTCTTAAAAGTTAATTTTTTTAATCCATAACATAAATGCACATATTTAAAATAATGATTAACAACAAATATGTGAAATTTGTTACTTAAAAATTTTAACACTAATATAGCAAATTAAGAAAGACTTGAGTAAATGTGTGATTAAGATTTACAAAATTCATAGTATTTCTATTCAAATTGCTACATACACATGGAACAGTATTTAATCAATTTCATTCATTTTTGTCTAGATTGGTTAAGGAATTCAAAGCATATTTTTCCTTTTTACATTACTGGTTATTTTAATTTTATTTTCAATTTCAGCTTACAAAAACAAGGCGTAAGTTTGAATTATATAAATATATAAAATAATATTCAAAGATTGAGAAATTTTCTTTTCTAAATAATAATAACATAATCAATAGAATATTAAATAGGAGGAATTATCAATAATGTATCTTTAAGTAATAAGGTTATTATTTCTATTCATTATTTAATTTAAGAAGGTTCTTCATATTTAAAACTCTTGCCCTAAATGAAATTGATATCATAATAATACGATGCTTAAATTTTTATTCATTTTTCATCTCAACTGATTAGAGCCTTACAAATAATATGAAATAAAATTGGCTTTGATGAAAATTAATTGAGTTTGGTCAATCCAAAATAGAATAATTTTATTAGAACTAGACATGAAAGATTAGGATTTTATTGTAGTGTATTTTTCTACAAATTATGAAATTTAAACCTTAATTAAAAATTTATAAAAGAAAAATTTTATACAGATCTGTCCCAATAATGTTGGTTATTTATATTGCAGAAACACAAATTCCTACAAAAGAATATGATTGAAAAAAAAGACAAATGTTAATTATTACTAATTAAACCCCTAAAATGATCAAAAATAACAATTGATAGGACTTGATGAATCTTTGACTAATAAACTCTTCAATTTTCATCCTACTTAATTTACCTAAAAAATTAAAAAGTATTGATTGGAATAAAACCAAGACAACAGTCATCACTTAAAATTAA